GATAAAATTGTAGAATATTTATAATATTATAAAAGACATTTAAATATTTAAACACAGAAAAATATATATTATTCGATATTGATTCAAAATATGAATTAAAATATGTTTGCTAACGTATGTTGTGTGTAGAATCTTTACACACAAAAATTAAAAGCATACCTTTGTTTCCTTTGTTGCTACGTGCCAAACTCGTACCGTTTGATCGTTCGAGCAACTAGCTATTAATTCTCCGCAAGGACTGACTCTGGCCATTCGTACCCATTCTCTGTGCCCCGTTAACGTTTTAACACAATACCCTGTCGCTACTTCCCATATTTTGATGGTCTTATCCCTAGAGGCGCTCACTACGAAATCCCCTTGTGGCACAAATGCGACAGAGCTGACACTATGATCATGTCCGTGCATGGTTTTCACGCAGGCGAATGACTGGTGAAAGTCCCATAACTTAATAGACATGTCTGCACTGCATGAGACTAACAGTTTACCGGAGACGTCGAAGGAAACGTCCTGTACGCTGTCAGTGTGCCCCTTCAACGTTCTTTCGAATTCGCCGCTCTCGAAGTCCCACACCTGGATAAAATTAAATATGGCATGAGAAAATAGTTTTGGTTAAAAAAAACTAACGGGGTGATAATTTATAAAAATGAATGAAAATGATTGAAAACGTTTGGTTTCTAGTTCCAAAAATGATTTAAATATTGAAACAATTAATTAATTTCAAACATAAATATTTAAATTGAAAATAAATTAAAATTTTAGTTATTTCAATTATTAATTTTTAAAAAAATCTTCCTTTTATAGACAAAATATTGTCGGTTGTTATAAACAATAGAATATTTTTTCTAATATGTACTCTTTTCTGCAAATCAAATTTTATATTACTTATGTGTTATTAAATTTTTGATGATATGCATTTTTTGTAAACGTATTTTTATGTTTTTTTTTCACTTATGTATTATTATACAGTGAAACAAGAATTTTTCTTAAGAGAATAATTTTACATTTATCAATTTACTTTGTCTTATATGATAAACAGAAATAAAATTTTGATAGATTTTCTTTTATCATGGAAGATGTATTCTTTTTTAAAATTTTGACAATGCATAATTTTTTCTTTGTTATTTCGATGACTTCACGTTGAATATTCTGATATACTTACAAAGTGAAATTTCATATATATTGAGAGATTCCATGACAATGAATTTCAACCATTCAATTATTCATCTTACTGAAGAACAAAGATAAAAATATTGAATGAACAGGTCAAACGTTATCATTCTTATAACAACAAACTCGTTTTATTTTTGCCATCGCTTAATTTCAATGACTCTTTCAACTTCAAAGTCAATGATTCTACCTTGATAGTGGCATCTTCGCTGGCAGATACTATAAGACTAAAAACCGGATGGAAAATAACTCTGTTGATAGGAGCTCTGTGTCCAGTAAGACTGTATTTTTCGGGTGGCCTTGGTATCCACTCGGATGGTGATCGTTTGCTACGTGTTGGTGCCCCTTCGATGAATTCCTTCTCAGCTTCAGAGAGTTTGGATTCCAGTTCCATTACCTACAATGTTTAAAATAATAATACATTGTTGTCTTTTATCTTATTTATAATAATTATACTTAATATATTGTTATATACAAAAATTTTAATATAATCTCTGTTTCACACTATTTAAAATTATGAAAAATGATTAATAAAAATTTGAATTAATCCATAGTCTTATAGAATCAAAGATAGTCATTTTTTTTTTTATATAATTTTATTCTTTAATGACATATTCGCTGCAATATAATCTCTGTTTCACATTATTTAAAATTATGAAAAATTATTAATAAAAATTTGAATTAATCCATAGTCTTATAGAATCAAAGATAGTCATTTTTTTTTTTATATAATTTTATTCTTTAATGACATATTCGCTGCAATATAATCTCTGTTTCACATTATTTAAAATTATGAAAAATTATTAATAAAAATTTGAATTAATCCATAGTCTTATAGAATCAAAGATAGTCATTTTTTTTTTTATATAATTTTATTCTTTAATGACACATTCGCTGCAATTTATGCACACGTTTGTGACGATTCAATTATCTAATTCTTGGTAACGTTGCTGACGCAATTGTTTTTTTTTTTTTTTACTTATATATGTTTTGACAAAATAATAAATAAATGGTATGCAGAAATTATATTATAGTAAAAAGTAATAAATCCCTTTAATTTTTAATAATTAATCCTAGAAATTATTTCAAACTAGAGATCTTAATTAAAATAGATGGCGCAATATATTTTCACAATTTTCTAAAGAAGATATTTGCATTTTTATCTCTATTTCATATTTCATTTTCCAAATAATTGTTGCCAAGTTGTATTCTTTTTGTTAATGCTGAAAAAAGAAAACTTACCTAAAAACTTATTAATGAAATTGATTAATAAATTTAAAAATTTCAAAATATATAATATTTTACCTTCTTTTGCAAGCGTATGACCGAGGTCCACTTCTTTTCCAGAAGACCTCCATATTTTCTCTCCACTTCCCCAGGCATATCGGCTTCTTTCTTAAACGCCTCAAGCGCATCTTGATAACCATTGGTACTGAGATAATCCGCAATCGCCTTATTTCTGAAAAAGTACATTAACTATAGCATATCTTTGAAGCCAGTTAAACAATGCATTTGTCCTTGTTAAAACCAGTTTTAAATAGTAGGCATAATTCATTAAACAGTGTAACTTTTTCCTGAACATTAATTATCGATGCAAAAAAAATAATCCACTCGATTGTTATTTTTATGTTGTATTACTACTATTCGACATAAAAACAAGTTACGTCATTCAGCAAATTAAAGAAGAAGAATTTTTCAAAACATTTGTCAATCATTTTAATTTATTCATAGATCAATTTATTTTCTTTCTTTTTTTTTCCATTTGTAATTATTTTTATATTAATTAAATTTAAAATAATATAAAAAGTGTTTTAAATATCATATTAAGAAAATCGATATAATAACAATCATAAAATAAGTATATATTAAATGGATGTTTAATCTTATCGTATTTATTTGTTACAAATCAATTTACGTTAAATAGTTTTAACGTACTATTTTTAACAACCAATATAATTTATCATAATTAGGAGATGGATCTCTATATGTATTCAATAATCCGTTAATTCATAATGTGAATCTTAATGACATCCTTTTGTTTACAAATGAAACATATCGTCATTGAAATTCTCTCAGCAAAACGAAGATGAGATCTTTGTGTTAGCGGAAGTAACAGAAGTACTTGAACATTCTCCGTTAGCCTCATTTTGTGAAACACACTTTCTTCGTCAACGTGTGAAATAACGCCGCGAACTTGCACGTATCATTCCGCCTTCACAGTACAGAATGTTTCAAAATTATAATATTTATATTCTACGTAATATTTTCTTATAATTACGTAAATTTTCCTATGCTTATATTTACATAACCACAATTTATTTTTTTATTTGCAATTATTTATGTAGAAAGTTCTATAATAAAAAATTTTCAATGCTAATTTATTACATTTATATATTATTTATAATATATAAATATAAATGATGATTATGGTAAAATAAATATAATAAATTAATAATAATTAAAATTAATAAATTTAATAAATTAACATGTAAATGTATATTTTTCATAAAAGAAATTCAAGTTTTTTCTCATAAAATAAATATTCCCAAACTTTTGAATCGTAGTGTACACATAATTCACTTCCTTGCACGTGTAGTAGACGTATAGAGTGTCTATCAGACATCGTTCTTACGTGCAACGCTTGCGAACAAGTTACATTCATATCTCTAAAGAATTTGAAATCTAACGCAGCGCTATCTCGCGGCTGGCCAAGTATCGATATAGTTTTCGAGATATAATGACATTTGGCTAACAACTGTTTGCAAGCTAGGCCGATACAATAGAGGGCACAGGTTGAGTACGTGGGAAAGAGATTGAAAGTCGGGCAGAATTATGTCGGGGTGAAAGGCCTGAAGTCGGTCGTTCGTCTCTGTTCACCTGCTTCCACGTGATAGTACGTGGCGAATTATCACTATAAGTTTTGTTCCGCACCGTTCAAATGCCGGCAAACAAAGTAAACACAGCCGGAAAGCGTGATCGATTCTCTTTCAGCGATCCTAGAGATCCTTTCACTTCATCGAACGGGACAACATAATAAATTACCATCTACTATACGAGAAACCACCACTTTACTGTAGTATTCCGGGTTGGCCATTTTGCTAATTATTCACGAGTGTTTTAGGAACCGGCCGTCTCTCGAGCAGAGAAAGTTACAGGTGAGCGAAAACATATTCGTCGAACCGTCACTCGGGGCAATGGAAAAAAGGAAAAAGAAAAAGATCGATCCATTTTTCGATCGAAATTCACCAGACTAAAAATTACTATACTTTATAACGGACAAGTCAGACAAAAATTTTCGTCGTTTATGCTTATGCATAAATTTCAAGGATCTCGAGGGTCGCCCGACCAACGTGATCTTCTTTTATACGAAGACGATCCCTTTCCCACTCTCTTTGCCTCTTCTTTTTCTATTTACTTTACACACCCGTCAACGGGTATCGCGTACACGAGATATAAGGTTTCCTCGCAGGAACGAGAACTGCACTCGTATATACATACGTTTAGATTCTTTTCATGAGTTTTGTTTACATACGTTATATTCGAATTAATTTATTTCGCGAACATATCCTCTGTTTGAAAGTTCTATTTAATTAAATTAGAAAAAATTTTTATTGTGATCACTATTATTAAAAGATTATGTAAATATATGATTAGATACATAACCTCAAAATATTTCTATTAATCAAAATTATGGACTTTGCATTTCTCTCTTTTAAATGTGAATTATAAAATGTGTGAAATAATTCGTGACTAAGTATTAGATAATATACTAGCAAGAGTAGTATATTATCTAATATTTTACATATACATTATATATATATATATATATATAT